GGGAGGAAAGGCTGTCATTTGGATGGACTGTTTTGAAGGAATGTAAATATTTTGAGCTTTTAAGAAGAGGTATGAAAACGGTGGTCTACCTGCTCAAATATTTTTGATATAAGAAGTTGCTAGAGATTTAAAAAAACAAACAAAAGCAGCAGCAAATGGGCATCTGCTCGTCATGACTCATAACTTAAAAAAGAAACCCACATCATCACAGCACAGTATTCTCTCTACATCAAAAATTCAGTCATTAAATGCTATGTGTTTATTTTGGGAATTTTTCGTACTGATCTGTCTCGTAAAATTCAAGCTAATTGCAGAAGTAAAGCTGAGATTTCTTTTTAGATTTGGTCTTTGTTTTGTACAAGCTGGGAGTCTTGATCCTGCGAGTTATTGTAACAGTAGTTATTCCAGTGAACTCGAGATGTTTTCTTAGGTTTGTGAGGTTAATTCTCTTTGTGTGGAATCTCTGTCTGCACACATACGTCGATTTTAGTTGGAAATCCACTGAAGTCCATCTTAGGTGGCTCTTCATGCAGCTCATCAGGATGATGACCTAAGATTTATAAGATGTTAATACCAGCTGCAGTTGGTACGTTCACTTTGTTTTGTACCAGTGAAAACTGCTTTTCTGTTCTAGTGCAAGAACTAGGTTACAGATCCTGCAGGGCAAGTACCTTGTACTACCAACAACAGCTAGGAAAGAGAAACTTTTCCGTGCCTTTATCTGTTTTTTCAAAGTTGAACGAGACAGATCCCATTTTCTTTTGCATCATTGACGAGTACTGCATTAACAATCTGAAAGAAATTAGATCTTTGAATCCAGAGGAATATAAAATACTGCTCTAATACAATTGATAAAAGGTAAATAGGACTAATTTTTAAATGCATCCCTACCAATATAATCTTTCCCTGAGTGCTGATCCTGTCTGCCATTTAAATGGTTTAGTCTGAATGTAATAATAATTCATCACATTAAAAATTAATTAACTTGACAGCATTGTTTTATTTTCTTGCTTAGACAGCAGCTGTCACTATCTGTTAAACTTAGAATTACTAGATAATGCTAAAGCTGTTCTACAGAATATAAATAGCTTGAGAAAGATGTTCGTGTTTAGTATAAAATTTGTCTTGGTTTTGAAATGTGCAGCTATCAGCTTCTGTTATTGGCTCACTGAGCGAATGAACTTGCTAAGTGGCTGAAATATGTTAATATATTCTGAGTCCATCCAGTGCCATATGTAATGATTTTATGCTTGATTTCTGAAGTAGCAGCAGTTCTACATGGCAACAAGGATTTTAGGAGCGTGAGTTGTCAGGCGTATTTGCGGTCAGGATTATGCTGCTGACTCGACAGCCAGCTAAGTAAATAGGGATCTCTGGCAAATCTTATATTCTGGTGTAATCTTGTTATGCGCAGTGGTGGTATTAGAGAATATTAGAGAGAAATGATCAGCTAATTTACGGAGACAAGAGGCAATGTGTTTTTGCTTTAATCCAATAACTGACCCCCATGAGTCAGATTCAGAAGAGGGTGCTGTAAGATGTTATCGTCTCTTCATCCACCATGCTTTAGCACAGTTGCCATAAATGTGTGGATTGTCCTTTGCCGTATTTATTCTTTTTCCTGCTTCCTCCATCCCCTGGTATCTGCTTGGGCTCCTGTATGATATCAACATTTCTCAACCTCAGAAAAATGAAGATTAAAAACTTCACAGTCCTTAAACCCCACATTTTTTTCTGTTACGGATCTCTGGCAGTTCTGTTCCTCAGTGGAAGTAACTTTGTTGTCTATGCCATAGATCCCTTTTCAAGTTCAGAGATATGATGAGGCAATGAGTATAAGGCAAATTAAAGAGTTTTGGCCTTGAAAACTTGTAATTATTGAAGCCTCTTCACTTAGATTGGTTTAACTCCGTACGCTTCTATGTACAAAGTTACTCCGACAGAAGGCTTTTTGGCAGCTTAGTCTCCATTGTTTAGAAAAGAGGGTAAGTGAAACTAAAGAGAAACCACTGGGATATCACGCTAAGAGCAGCACATTTGGTTATTAATTTGGGTCTCATCTGTGGCAGCCTGCCTGTTGCTATACCACTGACTGCTAAAAGGCAGATGTGGGAGGTCAGGCTCCCAAGGTTGGTCTGAGCTCAGGATGATTGGCTGCCATCACGTCTGGACAGCGGTGAGCTGCGTGCGTTAATCCTGGTTATCTCATCGTAGAGAAGCACAATTACCAAATTATGTACGCAGCGTGCATGTCTAGGGTGAGGGTTGCACGTGGGGGGAAAAAACTTGGCTCTAGGTCTTGAACCTTTCCCATCCAGGTGGGTGGAGAGGTTGTCTCACCACGATTTAACCAACTCATTCATGGCTTAGCCAGACAGCAATAATCATGTGCTTTCTGTTGGGGAAAGCAGGAAAGCCACAGACAGGATTTCTAGGAGAAGCAACAGCTTGGTGAAGAAAAGGTTTGAATGCTTGAGAGGCCTCAAGAGACCTCAGGTCATCTGTGTGACTGTTCTCAATGTCGATACAGACTGAGACACCTTTTCAGGGTGTCAGGGAGTGCAGTCTGAGGGTGTAGAACTGGGCAAGACCCAGGGTCCTGCAGCCAGAACCGTTCAGAGCTAGCTTAGGTACAATACAAAGATGTGCTTCCTTCCCACCTCCTTTCACTTCTCTTACATGTTCTTACAGGCTCTGCAACTCTGTCTGTTTTGGATTTGGTAATTAAAGTTATGTATTTGCATTTAACTTAACCTGGCTTCTATTAAGAGAGATCACAAGGTAACTGTACCATCAAGCATTCCATTCCTCCAGAAGGATGGTCCTAAGAGCTGCATCGTTTGGTGTGACCAGCCCCTTCAGTATGCGTCTGCAGGACATTCAAGGGGCAACAGAATGTTTCCATTTTGATTCTTCTTGAGAATGGTAATGTGAGTCTGTGAGAAAGAGGCAACCAAGTGTTTGCCTGAAAAGCTCTGTGGCACGTACAGAGCTGGTGGGAAGAATGTCTGGACCAGAGGGATCCCAGAAGGGCACTTAATGGACATGTTCTGAGGGCATTTTCCCCTTTCTTTAAAAGAAAAATAGTCATATTCATTAAAACAAAAACTACCTCGGCTTCTGGAAGCAAGTTGAAGTCTTATGGGAGTAAGTTATCCACATGTGTGGCTTTGCGCATAAATAAACAGCTATTATTTTTGAATGCAGTGTGTGTGCCTGGAATAATATGGAAAGAAAGAGAGGGATTTTACCCTAACGAGCTTAGAGTTCTGAAAAGATTTAAGAGGGGGTAGCTGTCAAGTAAGCACTAACCTAAACAATACATGGGCTGAATGAAAATTTGGCATACTGCTGCATGTCTGTCTCCCACTACCAAATATTTAGTGAGTAGCTTAGTTGAGAAGAACTCTGTAAGGAGTCATTTGGGGGACAAGTAAGTAAGGAAATGTCAGCAAGATTTCTCGAAGACAAAGAGTGGAAGAGTTTCAGAAAATTGTGCCTGTATAAATCATGAGGCAGGAGGTTTGGATGCAGCATTGTGAAGGAGGTAGGAGTAAACTATAAAAAAGCGGATTGGGAAGCAGTAAGAGTCTGCACAGGCCTCTCAAAGTGAAGGTGAGGGGCTTGGGCTCATACTGTGTTGCTTACCAGCTGTTTCAGGTCAGAATTGATTACAGATGTGCAACACAAGTGTTCTTCCTCTCGTGTATGACTACATCCAATGGGAAAACACTTTGTGCACACTGAAATTTGCTGTGGTGAAGACAACATCTGCCTGATAGTGTTTGTTCGTTCCAGGTGTACAGGTGGGACGACCACTCTAGCCTCGTTCTTCAGAGCCTGAATGAGCAGAGGCACCGAGGCCTCTTCTGTGACATTGTCCTCGTGGTGGATGAACAGAGAGTCCCTGCCCATCGGAACCTCCTGGCTGTTTGCAGTGACTATTTCAACTCAATGTTCACCATTGGTATGCGAGAAGCCCACCAAAAAGAGGTTGAACTTTTTGGAGCCTCTTACATCGGTCTCAAGGCTGTGGTGGATTTCCTGTATGGCAGTGAGCTGTCTTTAGATGGAGGCAATATCGACTATGTGCTCGAAACTGCTCACCTGCTGCAGATCTGGAAGGTGGTCGACTTCTGTTGCGAGTACCTGGAGAACGAAGTCAGCGAGGAGAATTACTTGTACCTGCAAGAGCTTGCCTCTATTTACAACCTGAAGCGCCTTGACTCCTACATTGATTCTTTCATCTTGCAGAACTTCGGCACGCTCTCTTTCACCCCGGATTTCCTGCAGAACATTTCCTTGCAGAAGTTGTGCCAATACTTGGACAGCAGCAACGTGCAGCAGGAGTGTGAGCACGACTTGCTGCAGGCTGCCTTGCAGTGGCTTACCCAGTATCCAGAAAGGGAGAACGAGGCTTACCAGGTTCTGGACAACATTCATTTTCCCTTGATACCTAAAAGTGATCTCCTCCATCGAGTCAAGCCCGCTGTCTGCTCTCTTCTTCCCAAAGAAGCAAACTGTGAGGGGTTTATAGAGGAGGCGGTGAACTATCATAATAATGTCACGGCTCAGCCAGTGCTGCAAAACAAACGGACGGCCCTGCGGACCTGCGAGGAAAGGCTCCTCTTTGTGGGCGGGGAGGTGTCCGAACGGTGCCTGGAACTGAGCGATGATACCTGCTTCTTGGACGTCAGGAAGGGGCAGTGGGTAGCAGAAACCCCTCTCCCAGCCAGACGAAGTCACCACTGTGTTGCAGTCTTGGGAGGCTTCATCTTCATAGCTGGAGGCAGCTTTTCAAGAGACAATGGAGGGGATGCAGCTTCAAATCTCCTATATAGGTATGATCCCCGCTGTAACCAGTGGATAAAGGTGAGACTTAAGCTGTATTATTTCTCTGTTTAAAGTCCTTAATGTTTAGAGTGTTTTCTTCATTTTGGTGGAAGGACAGGGCTCATGAGACTAGCCAGCATAGCACCACTCAGAAATGGAAATTCAAGTTATTTAAGTTGAAAAAGCAGCTACTCGAATCCGTTATGGGAATGCTTAAGTTATGCAGCAAAAGAGTCTGGGGCGGATTTTCAATTTCAAGTGGGATTTGGGAAGCTCATCTATGAAATTCCTGGTCAGCATCCACCTGCAACTCTTTAGATTACTTTTGGGAATAATGCTAGATGGACTTACAGGGGTGATTGCTTAGTTCATCTTTCTCAAGCAGTGGCGCCTATAACTAAATAAAAAATGAGTCTGATGTAAAAAGCAAATGTCTCTGACACTCATGAAACGTCTCTGTGCTAAATGTCTCTTAGAACAAGCCATTCACTTCCAGTCCTGCTGTAAAACCCTGCGGCAGTGCAGGTTCCTATAGGAACCAATCATCCTGTGTGGTTCAGTTGTGGTTTTCAGTGATTCCAATATACGTTTCTTGCAGAGTTTTGGATGGAGGCCCATGTAACACAAACATTTATAGAAGAACCTGTCTCTTAGATACTTCCTGTTGTCCCCTTTTTTGAAAATGAATGCTATGTAACATGCTACTGCAGGAAAACAAAAGTACTTTATGAATATATAATGATCAAAACCAGTAGCTCTCCTTTACAAATAAATGGCAAGAAGCAACTTTTTTTTTTTTTTTATCCTCAGACATAAATATACCTGAAGTCAGCTTGCTTACCAGATGTTTGAAGATGTCAGCATGTTATTTTTTTTTTTGACAGGTTGCCTCCATGAGACAGCGCCGTGTAGATTTCTACCTGGGAGCTATTACTGACATGCTGGTAGCTGTTGGTGGCAGGAATGAAAATGGGGCGCTTTCTTCAGTGGAGACCTACAGTCCTCAGAAGGATTCCTGGTCCTATATAGCAGGCTTGCCCAGGTAACGGAGGTGTTTGGGAAGTTACCCTGTGTTTGAAGAACGGTAGTAGAGGGAACTTGTGTGACTGTAGCTGGTGAATGGGTATCCCTAGAAGGGAGGCAGGGGGGTGTATAACCAACGTGCTGTCAGCGAGTAACAAACCATATCAGCGTTTGGTATTTGAGCAGTTCTCTCTTCCAGGCAGTGTGCCTCATGTCAGCTTGACTGGTTGGGATTTTTGTCCTGAGGTACATCTGAAGGATGGGAGTGAGACCTCTTACAATTTCACTCTACTATTCTTAAAATATTTTTCCTGAGGTCACTTGGAGTAGAACCCTTTCAGAGGCACTGTTTAGATCTTGATCAAAGGCTTCTATAATCTATTTGGCCTTACTTTGGTGTGATTGTTTTTCTCATAAGGTGTTTCTCTCTGGCTGCTCAGGTTGGCTGTTGCAGATAAATCACGTTTACCTGCATTGCAAATAGATAACCCTGGCAAACGTGACCCCTCTTTCTCTCAGTCTGAGTTAAAATTTAGCTGCTCTACTTTTGAGAGACTTTAGTACTGCAGCTGCTCTTGTAACAGCAGCACAAGACATCGGTAGTATTTTGAATCAATGTTTGGGTGGTGACTTCGTAAGAACTGTACAATAGCATTTCATTTGCAAACAGCTATTCAGATTTAGTAATATTTCACATTCGTGGAGATTACGGGGGTATTGGCTTTATGGATGGTATTTTCATGATGTCTGAAACCTGCAACTTCAGCAGCAGCACTTGCTTTCTTACTGGCATCACGAACAAGATACTCGCAATTTGATTTGAGAGTTCAGCTTTTTTTTTTCCCTTATTCCCTTAGCTGCAGAGCTATAGGCAGCCAGTGAAGGCACAGAAGCCTCTTGCCCGATTCTATTTTGGGCAGGTGCTGCAATGCGAGTCTGATCCTGGCTAACAGCTGGGCTCGAGTGCTCTTCAGAAGCAGGATGCTTTTTTCCATTTTATTTCTGCTCACATAGGCAGATCTAACAGTTGAGGCTGAACACCACAGTCTTTCCTGGGAAGCTGTGTATATCTTTAGTTCATAAGCCTTTCTGTTAATTGGGGTGACCTGTGAGATCCCAGTAACATCTCAAAGGAATTGTAGCAGAGCTTTCCTTCTTTTCAAAACATTTTTCAAAGAAACACAGATGTGACCTGACTGCCTTGTCAGGGGAAACACTCCCCTTAAAACCAGTATGGTTTTGACTCCCCTTAAAACCAGTTTTCCCCCTTGTCAGGGGAAAACACTCCCCTTAAAACCAGTATGGCTATGTTTTTCCCAGTGTGTACGTGGTTCTGGGGAAGCTTGCAGGCTGTAAGCTGTCTGAAAAGGGGCAGTTTTCTGCACGTCCCTGCTGCTACCTGTGTGTTGGCTTTGGGAATTTTGCAGCTGCCAAAGTGAACTTTGACTTGAGGGGTGTTAATTTTTTATTAGATTGCCCCGCTGATCTGCCTGGACTAGGCAAAAGCCCCCCCTTACGGGATAGACCCTGCTTACACTGACTTAGCTGGTTGCTAAGCTGCAGGGTTAGGCTGTAGTACAGCGACTATTTTAAGTTATTGCTGTATCCCAGAAAAATAATTCTGCATCCTGTCTTCCTGCCTGCTCTGTCCTTGTCCCATGATAACTGTCCCTTATGCCAGCTCGGGTGTTTGTGCAGCTGTGTAGTGAACTAGATACTTTCCTACTTTTCCATGTAGCTGCTCTCATGCATGTTAATATGTCATTAGTTAGATCTTAATGGACACTTAGTACCTTCAGCTTTTCTGTCTTTCCAGCCCTCTTTCTCCTCTTGGAGAACTTCTGCTTTGGGCAGTATAGCAGTATATTGTTTGCAAGAACCACTTTTCTGCACAGAAGGAATAAAGTTAAGAGCTTTAGGCAGGTTGCAAAAGGCAAAACTCAGCGCAGAGCTGGATTGCAGGAAGAAACCTTCTGGGTGCAGGGACAAGGGAATTCTGCTTGAGCCCAGAGAGACGTATGTGGCTCTGTCAGGTGTGGGTGGCTGCTGGAAGGGGCGCAGGCAGTCCTTTCCTGATCTACTTCAGATGGATTTGCTGGCAGCAGAGGAAGGATGAGAGAGGATTTTGTCATCTATTCACGACAAGAAGGAAGCGTGCTAGCTACGGTTCCTTCTGTGTACTCCTATCTTCCCTTCAGCATACTCTGATGTGATCTGTTTTCCTCCCCACCACATGCTTTTGTTTCTCAAACTGATTATAGTTACTGTTTTTACCCAGCTAACATCTTCCCCAGCCCTATTCTAACAGCTACTCTTTTTTTCCTTGTGAAGAGGAAATCAGAAGCTCTAAGCCTCTGCTTCCTGATTGCCTGATCAGGCAGCACATCCCAACGTAGCTGCCTTGTTCCCTGCGTTTTTCTGTCGTCTTCGCTCTGAAGAGAAAACGGGCAGGTTCTTTTGTCCTCTTGGGTGCACGGCCGCCAGAAGCAGGCTCCCTGCCCGCAGCTCTGGTGTTGTTTCTGACTGCTCTTCCAGCAGCTGCCTGGAAGACTATTCCCTGGAGTGATAGGCACATGTTGAGGTCATTCGGGGGTGTAGGCTTGTGTAGTTCAGTTTGAGCTGCATGGGGTTGGACTCTCAGAAATTACATTTATTAAAGCTTCTACTCCGAACGTGCAGAAAATGTTTTGTGGTTGTTTTGTTTTTTTTTTTTCTTCCCAAGGGTTATAGCTTGCCGTGTGTGGAGATTTTCAGGGGAAAGGCAATGGTTGTGTCCTTGAATACACATGCCTCCTGTCCGCTGCCAAATCCTGTGTCCATGTTGCTGTACACAGGCACAGTCATGCTCCTCTGAGGAAGAACTTTGCAAGCTCTTTTTTTTTTCCTTCACCCCAACGTGGTCAAAACAACACGTTGTTTTCCCTAACCGCTTTCTTGGAAGGAACTGAACTGTTTTGACTGAAATAATGCTGTTTTACTGAAGAAGCAAACACAGCCTCTTGAGGCAGATGCTTAACATGGAAAACTTCAGCCAAGCTATCTAAAGGGTGGACCTGGTCCAAGTCTGCTACAAGTGAATTTTGCCTGACTCTCAGTCGGGTCCTTGGTTGTGGGATACCCTTTCCCATTCTTCAGAGAGGTCCTTTATTTTTTTTCACCCTTTTTCCCAGGCTTTCGGGGAGCAGTTCCTGCCATAGTTTCTAGCCCGGAAGGGAACAGCAGTAGCTGACAAGCTTGGCAGAGCAGAAGTTGGTGCAATGTGTTCTCATCGTGAATAGAGCATGAAAAAGTCTGCTGCAGACATCAGTGAAATTAATTGAGTGGCCCTAGGTTAAAATTTGGCAGAACAACTGAAAGCAGTTGTATAAGGGAATGCGTTGGAACAGGCTAACGAATGATGGTATCTGCTCTGCTAGCTGTGTCATGAATGATCTTGCAGGGTTTGCAGCAGGTGGACACTGAGATTCAGAGCAACCACAGCTCACCTGGACTTTGGTTGGAGCGGGGGATTCCCAAAGCTTTCTTGAGTTAGGCCAAGTCTTCTGTTTAAGAAAATAAATGGTAGATTTTCTACCGTTTGTTGAATGGTGTTACTGTGTCAGAAACTCTCATTTTTGCAGCATTGTATCTAGGTAAGTTCTTCAGAATCAGCAACTGGCTCTGGCAGATGTTCTGCCTCAAAACTTCTTTCTCCTTAATGCCTCTGTCTTTTTCTGGGCACTCTTACAGATAACACTGCCAAAACACTTGATGTTTTCTGTTGGAGGATGTCTGGACCCACTGTACTGAAGTGTCCTGTTCTGTTGCCTATTTAAAAATGCCTCTATTTAAACCATAGGGCGTGCAGAAAGGATTCTTATTGATTGTTTTCAATTTGTGCATTGGATTGCAGGCAGTTTTCTATTAATGGGAAGCTGGGTATGTGCAATTTTGGATGAACTCTTCTGAAGTCAGGCAGAGTGAAACACCTCTAGCGTATTTCAACGGGTAATCTTCCTGTATTGAAAAATAACTAATTGATGGTCGATTTGGTGCTTCAGATACGATTGCCTCTTTCAGATTACTTCTGTAGCTGTTGCTATTCACTAGATATAGCCATTGATCGAGGCAAAAAGAAAAGCATCAATGCTTTTTCTGTGGCTGTCTACGCTAGACTGCATGCATGTGCTTGAGAGAAAATATTTATTGCTTGCTTACCTGTACAGAATTCCATTTTCCAGTTAGTGTAGGAAAACATTTAACCTATTTCTCCAAAGGTCACTCAAGTTTTTCGTAACTTACAGTCTTTTTTTTTTTTTCCCAAATGCTGAATGTAATGGGATTGCTATCAGCAGTACAATAACCCTGAGCTTTGTGTTGGATTCAGTGTCATTGCACTCTTCTGCCTCCTCACAACTGTTACCTGACGCTACCTCCACAGTGGAGTGCCCTGCACGTCCTCCAGGTAGCTTGCTGGTTAGATGTGGGTTTAAAATCCAGTGCAGTTTGAGAAAGGAAATGGATTCAAGTTGTCCATCCAACTTTCCAGATAGGTACTCTACATTTTAAGACCCATTCCTGTGTATACAGAGAAGCAAAGACTAGCAGCCAGACTGGGTGCCACTGGAGGGATACACGCCTGGTTCTTGTCTGTGTAAGAGACCACAAAGAAGGTGGAGCAGCACCTGCACACACTACACCTGCCGTAGTGTTTCTGGCAGGTGTGAAAGCCAGAGTGCCTGTGCTCAGGGGGTTGCATGTCAAACAGAAGCACGGAGTGCGAGTTACGTGCTTCCATGGTTAGGCAGATTGTGAGCTGTGGAATTTCTGACTTGCCTTTTTGGATAAAGTCTCATAGCTGTGCCTTAGCCCTCTCTTCTTCCTTTCTTTCTTATTCCTGAGTGGCTAAGAAGCAGTAGAGTTCTGAAATCATCTCTGCAGGGTCTCCAGGGAGGGTGCTTCAGCCCCTGCAAGTTAAAAGGTCTCTCCTGGTCACTCAGCATTCTTAGGCCATGTCAAGGATTTTTCTGTTTCTTGTAGCAGGAGCCTGTTAAATATCTGATTCAGACACTGGTCAGGGATCAGAGGCTTCAGTAGGCATCTAGACTAATAAACATGTAGCTTTTCTCAGAAGTGTTGTGCTTTCGGGGTAAATGTGGGTTTTCTTTTCTATTCCACCTATTCCCTTGGCACAAAAGCGTTTGGCACTTTGGTGTGTGGAAGAAGTTACCATACCATTTGTGTAGCTGAGAGAAACTATTACCATGCGAAATCAAAACAGCTCAAGGTTCTATCCACATTGAGATTTGAGCGTGTTCAGGCACGGTTCAAAAGCATTCCAGGCTAAAGTAATGCTAACGTAGGTTTGTCTGCCGTAGAGGTTGAGTTGTCTTGTGTCCTTGACTACAAAGGATGGTAGTAGAGGCTCGTGAGTGCAGCATGGTGAGTATATTGCTCTGCAGCCCTATGGGTATTAAATTGTTCGGGCTTTTTGTATCAGTGTGTGAGCCAGGTTGCTGCCACAGCTACACCTTTTGACACCCCACACACCTGAAAAAAGAAAGACAGGCGTGTGCAGGAAGAATATGTTCAAAAAAAATGAGGCTGTCCCCTGCCTTAGCATTCCACTTCTAAGAGCTCAAAGGGGTTTGGTCAGGAATATCCTAGTGTGAAGTTAAGAACAGCCTCAAGAATTAGGTTAGTAGTGGCTTTGTTATAGCTGATCAAAGGGGTTTTCTCTCTGCCCTGTGGAAGCAGCATGTGTGGTGTTGGTTCTTCCATCTCAGTTTGTCTTATTTCAAACGTGGACTCTGATCTGTGATTGAGGTCTGTTGCCTTGTCTTGGGGCGACCAAAGAAGTTACCTCCTGTGGAGCAGAAGTGGTGGAGCAGGTGGATATCTTGTGAAAAGAACATTACGTGTATCATGACTGCAGATAAGCTGGGCCGTGAGCACTAGTGGGTAAGAAAAGTGATTCATGATCCCGAAGCTGTGGAAGGGGAAGGCAGCAGTAGTGTTCTTGTTTTCTCTTGGTTAATCACTGCTGGAAGTCTGAGAGGTATCATGATTATTTCCTCTTTCTGTCATAGAAACCCTTGCTGAGATGTGTATTTTTTCCTCTCTGGCCCTCTCAGACTGATCCAACCCAAGCACTGGAGTAGGAAAATGGGAGTGAAGGCCATGCCAGCTAGAGCAGGATGGGTTACTTCTGTTGTATGACACATTGTAGAGGATGCCTTAAAAAGTGATTGTCATACATACCTTAGTGCTCTGTAGCGACCAGGTGTGAAAAGGATGCCTTAAAAAGTGATTGTTGTACCTTAGCACTCTGCAGCGCAGGTATGAATAAGAATGGTTACTGGGTAACTAACAGGATTAGGGATTTTTCTGCTTTAGTTAACTGTTGATTTTCTCCTTTAGTACCAGTCCTTGTTGAACGCTTGTGTATCTTGATAAAATCCCTAAGTACTAAGTCGTATCTTTTTTGTTTGCCTGTCCTAGGTTTACCTACGGCCACGCTGGAACAGTCTACAAGGAATTTGTGTACATTTCAGGAGGGCACGATTACCAAATTGGCCCCTACAGAAAAAACCTGCTGTGTTACGATTACCGCACAGATGTTTGGGAAGAGAAGAGGCCAATGATCACTGCCCGAGGGTGGCACAGCATGTGCACCTTACAGGACAACATCTACTCCATTGGGGGCAGCGATGACAACATCGAAACCATGGCTCGGTTTGACATTCTGAGTGTGGAGTCGTACAGCCCCCAGTGTAACCAGTGGACCAGAGTTGCTCCTCTCTTGCAGGCAAACAGTGAGTCAGGGGTGGCAGTTTGGGAAGGCAAGATTTATATCCTTGGAGGATACAGCTGGGAAGAAACAGTCTTCTCCAAAACAGTCCAAGTTTATGATAAGGAGAAGAATAAGTGGTACAAAGGAACTGACTTGCCCAAAGCGATCGCTGGTGTGTCTGCATGTGTCTGTGCATTGAAACCCAAAACAGAGGACAAAAAGAAAAAGACGAAAACAAAAAAACATCAAGATCGAGGAAGATGACTACTTCTGGATAACCACCTTTTCATGGTGGACTCTAAAAGAACCTTGTGTTTAATCATTTCTATCTAATCTTGATTCGTTCCTTTTTTTTTTTTTTTAATGGGGGGGAGGCATCTTCTGAAGTCTCAGAAAATATACAGTTGAATGTGGGTTTTGGATTAAGCTCATGTTTAAGGTAAAAACAACAAAAGAAACCAAAAAAAACCCCTCCTACTATATAAGGGGAGATAAAGCAAGAGAGGTCATGCTGCTCTCCTGAATGTAAGGCTTAGTCTTCTGTGGTTCATGGCATTTCCACATACATCGTATTATATTGACGTTTTTAAAATAAAGTTAAATTTGTGGCCAAGATGATAATGTCAGGGGGGAGGAGGCAGAGTATAAGTGTCTGATTTGAAGTTACAGAGCAGTTCAAAGGAGTTCAGAAGCAACTGCTGAGAAAAAATGAAATGAATGTTCAGTGTTGTAAATCTTTGAATTTTTGTCACGTTAAATTTCATTTACAGTACGTTCTTGAGTTGTTAGTATCAGATTTCTGGAACACATGAGTGTTCAAAGAGAATACTGCTTGTGGTGAATGCAGGTCAGATCAGCTTGGAGAGCAAATAACTCCACAGTACTCTTAAGCTTAAGAAGACCTTACTGTGTGGCTAAAGAATAGATGGGATTGGCTTGGGCTTGGATTGATAGTGTGACCTTCGAAATCTGGGAAAGGCAGGATGACTTCTGCATCCCTTGTTGTGGTGCTTTTCATATCTAAACACAATAGCAAGTTTTTCTTGGGTTTTAAAAACATGCCCCAGAATGAGGAAAAAAAAATCTGTCAAAAAAAAAACTCGAAAGATTTGAGGATTTGGATGGAAACTGTGCAATTTGCCTTGGGCTTCAAAGCAGATTCAACTGATAGAGCTCACTGCAAGTTTGGGGTTTGCTGGACAGAGGAACGGTGAGGAGAGATGGCAGGAGGATCCTTCGGGTGACCTGGAAGCAAGAAGATGTCCCTCAGCAGCCCTACCAAGCTGTAAAAACCGAGATCCACTTCGCTGAACTCCAGCCTCACCGTGGTCACAGCAGTAGCCCGTGTGAGCAGGGGCCCGTACTGGACTTGTCTGCTGTCAAAAACCTCATTAACCCACAATGATTAACTGGGGTTCAGTAATCCTGAAGAACAGCAGCTTGGGTTTTTACCTGAGCTAATAGCTCACACTTTCCTCTTGGGTTTTGTTTTTTTTGTTTTTTTTTTTTTAAGATCAAAATGTCTTTTCATGAGAATGGCCTTTTCGGATGGATTTGGCAGGGATTGAAGCCACGGCTTATCAGGCATGAAACTGAACACCTTCCCCAGCGAGACGGGTTCAAAAGGAAGAAACCCAAAATACCAACGCTCAGGACTGCGTTTGGGATGCAGACAGTGGGACCGAACTGAAAATTGTCTGTTAGATCCTCTGTGTCACGTTATCCTCTGCATACCAAGTAAAGAGATTTCCGACCCAAGTGTTAGTCCACCCTCTACAAACACAGCTGATTCTGCTGCAGATATTAAAATTCCCCGACTGTCTGGCCAGCTTTCAGGCATTCACCCTGGGGCATTTTACAAATGCACCTCTGATTTGCAAGAAGTCGATCACCAGCAATCTGATACAACCATTTCAGTTATTGTAGTAATGCCAGGCCGCAGATTAATATTCCTCCTTCCCAAAAGAAGACATTTTTAGAAAGTTTTTAAGAACAACTTTTATACTTTTTTATAACACATTTTGCTAACAGTCTGTTTGCCATATATTATATTACTTACTATAGAACCTGCTGCTCTGTAATTGTGACCCCGTTGTTGCTGTCAGGAACTCATCCTTGGGTGGATCGTTTAGTCTCTGTGTGGTTGGTGGGGATGTGATGCAGCTGTTGGAGCAGCGTTTACATTCTCAGCATTGTCAGGCAGTCAGCTCTAACTGTGACTATTGTACGGCCTCTTCCCCGATAGTCCAGCTCGCCAGACATGCTCATAAACATGCTTTATTGTCAGCTACCGGTCATCTGCTGAGTGGATTTCAAGGGCTTTGCTTTAAAGTTCTGCTGGGGAACTGTTGATTGTAGCTGTTACTTCTTCCGCAGTCCTCTCACATCTCCCTTGTGCACCATATCCATATATTTCAGATTTGCCTTTTTTTTTTCTTTATCTGGTATATGTACAGTTGATATCCTGCTACCTGCCTTTTTTCTTTATTTTTTTTCCCCCCAACTATTTACCTCATTAATTGGAAAACACTAAGAAAACATTTTTGCACCTAATTTCATTTGAAGCTCTTGTAAATGAAAGCACGCTTAGATACATTACAAGAACATACTTGTATTGAGAGAGGTACCTTTGAATAAACTTCTGGAGTGCAAGGAAGTTACAGGTTTCTTCTTCAGTACTAAGAAAGGATTTAAGAAAACTAGTTGAAATTTATTTTGTGAAACTCCTTGAGGTTTTTTTGGTCTTAAAAAAAAAAACGCCTCAGGAGTTAGTCTTTATTTGCATTAATGGATTTATTTTAAAGCCTTTGTACACTGCATGAGGTAATGGTTATTCTTTTTTATCCTAAAAATATACTAAAAAAACAACAAAAACACAACCAAACCAAACATTTTGGTTATGACAAACTCATTAATGAGTTGTTTGGGTTTTTTTATATCTGAAATCCTTGCTATGTTGACTGACAACTACTTAACTTTTTGGGACATTTTCATGTGTAAGTATAGAACAAAAATTTCAAAGACTTCCTTTGTTTCTGTAATGGGTTGTTTGTTACTATATCCCCCTTTTAATGTGTTTATGTATTACATTAATGTCTGGAAACAATAAATCCAGTTTAGAATATTGTATTCATCACAGTCTGACTTGTGTATTGATTGGATTGAGGTTTTCCTTTTTAAAAAAATTGGAAAGAAGTAATTTTGTAATTATTTTAGGGGGCATTGATAATGGTAGAAACATTTTAATAGGCAGAAGCTAAACGTAACAATATGAAGCAGAAATATAACTGAGTTGGCTAATCCACCTTTTCAGCATCATGCTGTCAGTCAGAAATTACTTTTCACGTTTTTTGCTGCTGTGACAAAAGATCCAATCCAGTTTATATAGTGGTTTCAAAGACAGTATTTAATGGGGAGTAGATAAACACAGTTACGACTTAATAATGTTAAACTTAATTGCACAGGCAAAATAGAACCTCAGTACTCATCGAAGTCAGCTTTATTTCTCCTGGTCCATTTATTACCTCCTCCAAATCAGAGGCTACAGGCTGAGTATGGGCCGTATCTCATGTTACTAGAGGTCACTGGGGTATCGTACCTGTTGTTGCCACGAGCATTTTTTTATTATTAAAAGAAGAAATGGTTACCATTTGCACCTCCGAGCCGCGTGGTAGTAAGCACTGCTAAAAGCACAGTCTGGCAGAGAGGGTGGCCCTTTATATTTTGGGTATTGTGTACCCAGATGTGGCTTATCATTACTTGGGATGTGTTAGTGAAAAGTGCGTGAGGCTTGAAAATAACCTGAGCTTCCCACTGCGGAACTGCTTTCTGAAATCGGTGTGCTGGAATTCTGCAAAAATGAAAGGGAGAACACGGTTTGCAAGGTTTGGGCAGCCCCCTCAGTGAGTAATTAATGTAGAGAAAAGGGGTGTCGTCCTGGTCTGTGCTCTTAGGGAATCAGCCTGGTTTCTGCACCTGTACGTGCCACTGCCTTCATCTCTAAGCCTTGTAAAACATTTTAATTCTTGTCAGGAAGCATGGTTTTCTTCCTGCCCTGGGGAAAAATAACTACTGCTCTACCTCATTTTTAAAAAGGCTCCTGTTGCCAAATTCTGAGGAAAGCTCGTTTTACCTGACACAAAACAGCTACCAAAAAACCTCCTTCCCACACTTCCATGCCTGTATCTTGGCATCAGCATGTCAAGGAACTGCTGCCTGTAACACTGACGTTAGATAACACAAATCCCTCGAGATACCCTGTGGAAAAATTACACTGTGGTATGAGATGCAGTTGTTTTGAAGGCTTGAGAAAGAAGCTGGAAATATTTTTGTTCTCAAGTTGAAACCTTAAACTGAGAAAAATGTGCCTGAGTGTCTGTCTTCCTCTATAAGAGACCAGACTGCTTTCTTCCAAATACTGGTGATTTTCCGTGTGCTGTTAGGATTCAGTATTCTGAAGTGGCAGCAAGAAAGTGTCTCGTGTCTAGCGACTTTAAAGAAATAGTTTAAACTTTAGTGCTCTTTCTGAGAAACATTTTAACTCAGAAAAAAAATTCTAGATACTAATTGTGATTCTTTCCTTGCTGATAGATTTTAATGAAGCTCTGACCAGCAAGAATTTCTAGGGAAAAAAACCACCCAAGCTTTATATATTAATTTATTTTAGTTTCTTGTCATATTTCAGTTCTCATGAATAATAGAGAGAAGCTAATTACACCTTCATGAACTTACGGCTTTGATTTGTCTTAGGGCCCAGGTCAGGGCAGATGCACCCCTGGTCCAGATGGAGACGTTCAGTCACTGCGTGCTGCGAGGCAGAGCATGGATGAGCTCCAGCTACTTGCAGTTTCCTTCTCCTTCCTGATAACTCTGCTACTAAGTGAGAGACATCCAGCCCAGCAGCAGGTTTGTTGATACCACACGCATTTTTTAGCATCACGTAGGCTCTTTGCAACTCGGCGTAGCTTTGGGAAAAAAATGTGTCTTTGTTTTTATCATGATAGGTTCGGTGACAGAACATGAAAGGAAGGTGAGATAGAGACTTGCAGGTTCTTTTGAGACTGGAGTCCTAAAATAGATTGCATGAGAAGAGAGGAGGCTCGTATTTAAGATAAGGATGAGTAAGTCACAAATAATTCAGCCAAAAGGTCCGCACAGATAACTGAAAGGGAACACTGAGTCGAGTATCCACGTGATCTACTAAAGGCTTGTCCAGCCTTCAAATTTGTTTCAGGTTAACTTGAATTAGCCCACGCTTAAGTTCCTTACATCGACAAACTAAATGTATTTGTTACAAATTTTCAGCAAGTTTAGGAATACAGAGTTTGAAGTCAAGTTTGCATTAATGCCTTTTCAGAATGAAACCCCTCCTGTGTCCTGTGCTGCTCGGCTCATTGCTTCCACCTGCACCACCCTTCCTGCACTGCTGCTGTCTCGACTTCCCTTTGCAGGCGCTGGGATGGCTCTTGCTGACCTGTGCAGTTGAGGCCACAGAAAGTTCCAAACTCGTTCTGCAGGCTTGTTTCAGCACTCAGGGTACTCTGAAGTATGAGGCTTTGGGAAAACCTCACAAGTGACTCTCCAGCAGGAACAGCTGTCCACAACAGAGGTTCGACAAGAAGCAAGTTCTACAAAAGGAAGGAAAAGTACTTTATTGGGGTAGTAAAAATGTTTTTTATAACCATGAGCAGCAAAAAGGACCTCCAGCAGTGACTTCTGTCCCTTCTCCATGGGCACCACATCACCCGAAGCTTTCGTGCCCCCACGCCCACTGTGAAAACAGCTCGATTCACCTCTGGCGAAGTTCACGGCGTGTGTGGACCTCACGCGGGAGGAGCAGTCGCAGCTGCCTGAGCTCACCTCTGCTAGTGACATCTCTGGGGACGCTGGCCTACAGCAGGGCGGTTTTCTACTGAAAACTTCAAACACAAGGAGCCAACTGGCCCAGGAGCAGAAACCCCTCCCTGAGATCCAAGCAGGGAAGATGGCTGCTGCTTGTCAGTGCTTTGTGGTAGGCAACGCTGCGGGTGGAGTGACCTGAGCTCCCTCCCCAGCACTATTTCTGTGCCACTATAGGCACAAGGCTGGTACTGCTATGGTCCCTTAGGCTCCTGCTGCTTTAAAAAATCTTTGTTTTTTTCTCTACACAGCAGCCACCTTAGCTTTGTGTCTTGGTCCTCCCAAAAGACAGTAAAGTGCTGTTTGGTTTGTTGGTTGTGTTTTTTTTTTTTTCCCCCCCCCAGTTGAAGCTCATTATCAGAGTGACTGGAGAAGTAGCAAAGCCCTTATTGTAACTAGAAACTCTCAACAAGTTTTGCATAAAAGTCTTCAGAGCTCCTAAAGCTCTTAGCACCAGGAGGAAACTTTACATGGACAGCAGTAACCTCCCACAGACATCAAACAGTTCCTGCAACATTACAGGAAGATATTCCCTTCTGCCCCTCAAAGAATGGACGTGCAGGTCTCAGTTGCTTCAGGAAAGTCCCAGGTATAAATCGGTCACCTTCTGGGCACTGTCATGAGCACAGGTCTTATGATCTAGTGCAATCATGAGGACTGTGGTGTGGGAGGGTGAGCTCTTCCCAAGCACTTTGCATTTACGGTAGGATAAGAGCAATTACAGTAGTTACTGGGAGGCAGCTAACTTGGGAGTAGTTTATTCAGCTCAGTAGCTAATGTCAGACAATCCTTTATTTCCATAGGCATGGACCTCATTTGCTGGTGATCAATTCACAAAATAATTGAGTCATGTTGCTAGAAACATCACTCGACTTCATGAAGCTTAAGAACATGGATACGCAGAAAGAAAAATACATCACCATTTTTCTGAAGTTGGAAAAGCAACGTGTTGTCTGGGAGCTATAATTCACGGCCACTGGCATAAAGGATAGAAGAAAATAAAATTGATTTGTGCAGTGCAGTAAGCACTAATGCAGTAAGAGACCACTAAAAATGGCAAAAATGAATGACAGAACTGAGGTGAAAACTTCCCAGCAGGTAAGTTTCTTCAAAGCATGCTGTGACGGTAAAGCTGACAAAACTTCTATTATTACAAAATATTGTGGTGAAACGTTAACAGACTTTACAATGAAACTGTATTAAGATGGGATACAAGTGAAGGAGTTTTAAACGTTGCTGAATGTCAAGACGGTGACAACCTTCCTGCCCACATCAATTTTCACCATCAGCTACAGCTTTTAACAGTATTAGTATTTGAATTTACTAGTGTTCAGGTGGGGGGCACCGTGCTTGTTTGTATTTTTGGCCATTGAAAGGAAGGGGCAGCCTTTCCAGCAAAGTCAGTTTACTTAGGCAGAACTGTGGGCAGAAGGGAATTTTGTCTCCAACTACCTGAGCTACGTAAGGGCTTTCACTCCATCATTTACCTTGTAAATTAGACTCCCGAGGGGAGAGGGAGCTTGATGTTTGAAATGCTGTATGCAAAAAGCCTATACATTTGTCTCCCTTTTTTGTTTCTCTCTTTTAATATTAAACAGCTATTTGCACTGCTAGTTCTCTGCCTTAGGACAGAAGAGCAACACTTGCTAGAAACAAAAGAAAGGGAGCGGCAGCAGGGTGTGTCAACTAGGACAGAAGCTGATACAGAAAATCATTTACTGTCATGAGCACACGTTAAGTGTTGCACTTCATAAACCGAGAGGGAAACGTCCTTATACAGAGGTGGATGAATCTTCTTTCCGCTCTCAGTGAACATTCTGAACAGCCAGACACGAAGTTCTTTATTTCCTGCTCGTCTCTTCAACTTTCGCAGTAACGTGAAGCTTTCCCTAACGCTTGCTTCCCAACCGAAGTAGACTTTTGCTGGATTTAGTAGGTTAAGGAAAAAAATATGGAGTAAATTAGCGATTCATTTAATGGATCCTTGCCTGGGGCTTTATGACTCAGTCCTCTCAAAATCATGAGATTGGCTTAATCACTTAATTTTCTTTTTTTCCAGATACAAACGCTGAGCCCCTTCTCGCTATTTAGGGCACGGGACAGCTTCGCCCAGCCGACCCCTCGCCTGCCGCAGTACGCCCTGGCAGGCGGCCTTGCACAGCCTGTCGAGGGGAACGAACCCTCGCTGAACTCCTCGGGGGCAGCCCGGCTGCTGGCACACTCGCATTTTTTCGGCTGCGTTTCTCCTGCACCGCGCCCCCCGACTCCATGGCACCGGGCCGGCCAGGTTACTCGTCTGGGCCCACGGCTGCAGCCTGG